AAAGGACTGGCAAAAGTTGCGCCGTTTTTTTTTTTTTTTCCCAGTCTTTGGCAAGAAGGTTATCGGTGGCGGAGAGGGTACGTGGGAAAGCGTCGCAAGAGAAAACGTCTCCGGATAGCTGGCTTTAAGTTTAGCAGCGATCAGAAAGCTCATATAAAAGGGCTGTAAAAGTTTCTACTAATATTTTTGTAGTCTCTGGTAAGCAGGCTAGCATCGGCACAGAGGGGAAAACACCCTTGTGTGGTGACGTGGGAAAGTCTTCCAAGAGAAAACATCCCGGGACGTGTGGGCTTCTCTTTTGAGTAACGCATTGAAAATGGCATCCAGCCCTTAAAAAAGCTATTTTCGGATTTATGCCTTAGTCATATCGGCCTACAGACAGTGAGTCATTAAAGACATCATTAAAGCGCCTCGGAGCGCTTGTCCCGAGGAGGTCAGGGTAGGTGAGGAAAGGTAGGCTGGACAACTGGGCTCTTCTCAGCCACTAGCTGGGGGCGGCCTCTGCGGTCTCTCTTTTGGAGAAAGCCAGCCGTTCGCAGTCCTGTCTCATGAAACCATTGAATCAAGCTCTCTCCGCCCACTAGTGACACTTGCTTTCCAGGTTATGTTGCAACAGGCCCTAATCCTAATGGAAATCAGTGTGTTTTCATCCACTTGGGTCCCAGCTATTCTTCCGTCAGCAGCACGTCCTCAGCTCCGACACATCACTCCTGTGCTTGCTGCCGGCCACGTTTCCTGGTGAGACATGCACCGGTGAGCCATCCTGTCCAAGCGCCGAGCAGTTCTGCTTTTCGCTATTTGGCTGCGATTCGCCACCGCGGAGCGGGTTTGCCCCGCGCTCTCCTATCTGCCGAGCGCTGTCTCAGAGCTATGTGATATTTTTACTCGCCCTCATCCTGCAGCTGGCAGCTCGTCCCCTCGAGCCGTGGCTGGTTAGCTGCGGTCATGCATCTGGGCCATGCCCCTGCCTCTGCCCCTCGCTCATGCAAACTAGGGCAGCGCACGAGAAGCAACGTCCTCGCCCGTCCTTCCCCCGCCACAAACCTCACGGCGCGCTTCGTTTTTCCATTTCAAGCATCGAATTTCTCATTTCCCCCCCGCACTGGCTGAGTGAATTTGAAAGTGCAACCGTGACGGCCTCGGGCTCTCCGGCAAAGAGGCACCCGCGCAGCCTGCCTTCTCCCACCCGTCCTGGCGGGCGGGCGGGCACCCCGGGGGGACGCGGCGCTGCT